GGCTGCTCTTGGAGCCGCGGTGCCCGGGCAGCGCCAGGCGGGCGGGGTCCAGCTGCGCAGCCTCGTCTGTCTCTGCCCCTCACAGCACAGCGTGGAGGACACGGCAGCCGAGTGCGAGAGGCTGGGAGCCAGCGTTCAAGCCTTCGTGGTGGACTGCAGCAAACGGGAGGAGATCTACAGCGCTGCAGAGAAGGTAGGGGAGAAGGGGCGGTCGGGAGAAGGAGACAGCAGGGACTGTAGGCAAACCAGGCGAGCCCTTGTGACCTCCCCGCTTCTGGCTGCTCTCGGCACGGCGAGCAGAGCAGCGCTTCTGAGATGGCAGCCAGTCTCCTCCTCCCCGGAGAGGCTTCAGCGTATCGCGCCTCGGCGCCGCCTTTGCCCGTTAGACTGGCAGCCCCCGCAGGCACTTCTGCCTTTCGGTGTCCCGAACAGCCCCCAGCCAGCACTGGGGACACGGGACACGTCCCACTGGAAAGGACACGGCCCCGCTGGCTCCAGAGGGGCTGTACGGCCACGGGGCGGCTGTGACTGCACAGAGCTGCCGTGTCTGTGGGCAGCGTGTGCAGACCCTGGCGGGGACTGAGGGAGAAGCCCCAGACCCACACCTGACTTCACGTCACCTCTGCACCGTCTGCCGGGTCTGGAAACGTGGCACAGTCTGCCTGCCCCTCAGAGAAACGATGTCAGGGGTTAATTGTTGCTCCTCTTCCACAGCCTGGCTGTTTCTGGAGAGCGACAGACGCTTTTCTGTTTGTGTTTTCCTGTCCAAAAGGTGAAAAAGGAAATTGGGGATGTCTCTATCCTGGTGAATAACGCCGGTGTGATCACAGCTGCCGACCTGCTCTCGACCCAGGACCACCAGATTGAGAGGATGTTTGAGGTCAACATTCTTGCTCACATGTGGGTAAGGACCCGCTGCGTTACCGCACGTGCCGGGGCGAGACGCTGCCGGCGTTGCTGCTGGCTTCCTGAGCCATCCCTTGGGAAGGCAGGTGCCAGTGGCACCAGCTGGGCACAGGCCGGGTGCCTGTGGCTCTGGGAGTGCCAGGTGCTGAGCAGCACACAGCAGCAGCACTCGCTTAAGGAAGGGCAGCCAGTCAGTGCTGGGCACGCTGCAGGAAACATTCTGTTCTCTCTTTCCTCCCGCCTGCGTTTTTGCCTCTTGGTTTAACCAACCTCCCAGACCACCAGAGCTTTCCTGCCCAGCATGATGAAGAACAACCACGGGCACATAGTCACGGTGGCTTCGGCAGCGGGTCATTTTGTGACCTCTTTCATGGTGGCTTATTGGTAAGTGATTTTAAAATGGCCTCTCTTC